CAGTGACGTAGCACCCATGTCTTACTACCTGAGTGGTGAACTGCATCGCGTTCCGAAACTCGGAGGTTTGGGATTCGATTTATTGTTCAGATTTTTGTTGTTGTCCCACGCTGGTGGGAAAACATATGCAGTGAAGATCCTTTCAGCTTGAAATGAAAAACCTTGTGATTCTGGTCGCACTTCACAAGGACGCATCCCTTCGTCCAACATCGAAAATTTTGCTTCGCAATTTGACGATTACCGATCTTTGCGCTGGCCTCATTTCACAGCCGTTAGCGATGACAGTATTTTTGTCTTTTATTACGGAAAACTGTACCCTTTGTCGTAAGGCTAAATATTCAGCAGATATCGTGACCACGATTTTCTCTGGTGTATCTCTAGCGATACTGACCTCCATTGCAGTGGAGAGACTCCTCACCCTGTTCTTAGGGATAAGATATGGGCAAGTTGAAATTGTCAGGAGAACTCTCACGGTCGTCCTGTTTATATAGATGAAAATATTGCGGTCGGCCTACTTTTAGCTTTAGAATACGATATCATTCCTCCTTTCAAGCGAAGTATTGATGACATTAGAGCTGATGATTTCAACGCATTCCTACTCCAGAATATTTTGCACCATTCGAGGTCAATAAATGCAAGTGCAGAATGAATTAGCAGGGAAAAGAGCAGGAACCTCGCAAAACATGACGCGATATAAAAAGACGGTCATCGATGCTCGGCTATAAGTTCACCTTACATTCGCAGTCTATTATCTTCCTTTTTGTGTGGTGACAGCTGTTATCCTTATTCAAGGGCTAAACTCGTCGCTTTTCCTGGCCGAAGCACTTGCCGTATGTTTAGTGAACCCCAACTCGTCGCTGAATCAAGTCTTACCGCTGGAAAACTAAGGGAATTCAAGGAGCAGTGAAGGAAACCATAACATAATTTTTCACTGGTTTCTCAACTTAAACCTAATATGCATTCATATAATTATGTGTAACGAAAATAAATCGTCTAGATAAATCGTGTTTTACATGATCAGTGAAAAGTATTTCAGATCGCGTTAGATTTGAAGGCCGAAGATTAAAGAAAATTAAAAAAATTATTTTACGGACACTAGAACGTTTGTATTAAAGAGACCAGTGATAATTTATGTTTGAGATCCCAAAATAATTTAACGTTATAATTTTATACTAAGCATGACTGAAATTTTTTTTTCAGTCGATCGGCAGTGCATTTATACAGTACCTATACACCCCACACATATGCGATGTCAGTTTACCCTATGGGCATGGTGACTAAAAAGAAGACCTTTTTGTGTATGAAGTTTGGAGATTTGAAAAACTAGCCGGCGCCTAAACTAGTGGATACCAATCGTTCTAAACTCGTAAGAATCGCAATCATTCCTCCTAAAAAATATTTCTTATTGCACATCATCAAACTGAATAAATTAGGGCCTCTAAGTTAAGAGGCTATGCAATTGTTAAAGCTTTAAAGAAAAAAATTAACTTCGTTTGATTTCATTTAAAATTTTTCAGTTATTTGTTATTATAATTCGTTTGTGAGGTCTGAGACTCCCCACTGTTCGACGGTCACCGAAAATACAGTTTTGTACTCGTCACAAAAAATTTAGATTGGCCCTAACACCTTATCCACTTACAAAAACTCACGTCTACAAACATTTCAAACGATAGGACAAGAAATTAAGAAGTTTTTTAAACGACGAGTGCCAAATAATTTCACTATAATGTCAATTATTTTTGGCCTAGAGGGGATACTTTATCCTCTCTTACTTTGTCTTGATCAAAATAGAATTACCACGTAGACTTAACACGCGTTAAAAAAAATGAAAAGGCTTTGGTGAGTAATCTCTTGGCGATTTATAGGTAATATTTCTAAATTTCAAGACCATTACGCCATATCAAGTTTACGATAAACCTTGCGCATGGCAAAAAGTTAATCGGTATATTTTAGCACATATTTCATGGTTGTTCAAACAAAAACTTATGCTTCCCTCCTCGTATCAACATTACCCAAATCCATTTCTGATAAAACAGCGGCGAAAAAGTGATAATCTCTCTCCAAAATCGTTTTTTAGGACGTCGAAACAACCTTTCGCCATACATTTCTTTCTAGCGAGTTGCAATGTATTTCCAGTGGGGAACCCAGAAATCTCTGCGCAAATACGAGGATCCGATTACTGGCAACTCATTCACTACTCGGGCTACGCAGAATGAGTTATAAATTGGGCTTTCTTGTTAGTGTTGTCGTTCAATCACAAATCGCCGTCTCGCTTAAGCGCACGCGTGAGGGTACGTGCTGAAACGCATGCGTAGTCAGCATAGAATGCTCACACGGTTGAGCAATGGCGGATTTATCGAAGGTGTTGTCGCTCAACCAAGAAAGAGTGAATGCCAAAAACACGTACAAAGGTAAACACAGTTCGGGGTAAACCCGCGGTCCGCGAACTTTATGAGAGATCAATTTACGAGCGAACTATTATGAGTGAACGTTCTATCGAGGGTTGTGCAATATCAAATTTAAGAATTTGTTCATGCTTAGCGTGCGTATATCGAGTTATGGATGCACGCGGGAAGTTTGGAGAGCATGAAAAATGCGTAAGAGTAGCGCGTGGCGCAGCCGAGGGTAACTCTAGCTTTTTGAGTGCTCTCCAAACTTCCCAAGTGCATCCATAACTCGATGTACGCACGGCTAAAAGCACGAGTAAATTCTTTTATAACAGAGCGACAGCAAGGATCTGCGCGAAGAAGTCTTTTATTGTGATAGAGTGCAATTGTGATTGTTTTGGTTTTGGTAAATTCCCAATCAACAACTGTGTACTTTATTCCCCAGGTTGAACAAATTTAAAAACAACAATAAAAGCGAAAATTTTACCTTTAAATGTTATTAATGACCAATTTGTGACTATTTTTGTTCCCAGTGAATGTCTTTCGGCCAAAATTTGCTGCAGCTGGTCTTCCGAAAAATTTGCAAAACGTGCAACTTGCGAGTTTTTTTCGGCTTTATTTTTGTTGCTTGTTGAATAAGGATTTGAAAGGTCAATGCCGATAGAAAAATCGGGAAGTTCTTTACTGGTTTCTTCCATATTTCAAAGAGAAGGAAAACTGCACTGCAGCTTAACAGGACGGAAACTCTGAACCTAGGTAAAAAAAATCCTCACGTCATCTTATTTACGCACGGGCGTGGGTAAATAAAGATTTTGTTCATAGCGGCTCAATAGGACTGATATGGAGCAAGCACGCGCGTTATGTTATAACAGCTATTTACTGTTAAGCTACGTAGACATTATCGTGTATTTAGACGTGATCGAGAACCCAGTAATACCTGTACGAATTCTGAAATGTCTGAGGAACAAGAGCAAAAAACTAAAGGAATCTGTTTACAAGCGTATTCTTCCAAGTCTTCCAAGCTGCAATGTTACATTCATGTGATACACTATTAATATATATATATATATATATATATATATGTATAGGTCACCAAATGGGTGAAGTAGAACCATAACATCGAGGAGACCTCTGTCAATCTAAATAATGAGCCGTAAAACCGGTAGAAAACCGCGTATCGAATTCGCGTATTGCATATCAAGATTCAAGGAACGAGCATTGAGGGAGTTCACTATATATTTTACCAAGCACTTATTATAGTTCGAGACTCCGTAAGAAGCCCGAGTTCACGCAGTTATGCATCTTGTTCCCGTTTTACTTCCAATTAAACTCTGTTTTAACACACTCCCGGAGACGGACACTCTCTCATAAGCGGACGCTGACCCTTGTCAAGGGGGAAATTTAGATTTTTCTTTTGTTTTCCCTCTCTCTCAAGCAAATGCACCATGCTGCACCATGCACAATAATGGACTCTCGACAAAGAAATTTGTCTTAATTTGCAAATCAACAGAAATACGACCAAAGCAGCAGAGCAGTGCAGATCAGTATTGTCAAATCTCCATTTCTCCGCGGGAAAGCAGGGTGTCCGTTTGTTTGGCATTAACAAGGGTCCGACATTATATTTGTAATGTCACTTTATGGCCGCAATGGTTATGGTCTACATCCCTTCTTGTTTCTTCCGTTAGCGGACATCCACCCTATTTTCTATGGTTTCCGCCAAGGGGAATAATTAGTAGGCGGATCGATTCAATAAGGTACACTCTTTCCAATTCCCGTCGCTGTCCGCTGACGCAGAGTTGTCTGTGTTACAGAAGCAGCAGGCTCCGAAACAGAAGATCTCCATGACGATAAAAGATGTAGAATTGCGCTTTATTTAATAGTTTTAGTCTTTGTATGTTTTCTTTAAAAGAACTCCCGGATATTTGAGGTGTTTTCAAGGTTCGTCAAATCTCCCTTTCTTTTCTTACAGTGGTTTTATTTATGCTGGTAAGCTATGGATGGTGCGTAACAGGTAGTCGTAAATATAAATATGATCAATTGTAGATTCTAATCACTTTATTGTTTGTTAAGTTCATTATACGCTCCCTACTGATCATGTACAAGCATCGATAAACAACTCCACTGCAAAGTTTTGCTTACCCTACTACTTACCCTTTCATCAACCACGTCATGTAAAAAAGGTTGGGTGAGGGGTTAACGAGTGTAGTTCACACAACAATTCCCTTACTTCTGGCCTTTACTCAGAGAGACCTTAATAATTAGCAAAAGGGTAGGGATATAACCATTCTTGGCCTCTGAAATATCTCTTTGTAAGGGAAATATATTTTTACACTACAAAGATCCGGTTAGCAACTTTCTCTTGACTTGCAATACAATCCCTTGTAAACATTTAAAGAAAACGTGATGTAATACCGACTTCAAAGAGGTACCTTCTGAATAAATGATGTCTTTTTAATTATTATTTCCATAGCCTGTTTTCTGAATATTGATTGAAAAACACACATACTTTCGTGGTAATGAACTTAATGCTTCCGTACCCAAAGAAAATATTGACATATTACTCTCTAAAAAATTTCCTGTACTACAAAAAGTCAACGAAAACTCTCCTGAAAAGTGAAAATCAATTCTAACCCCCAAAAAAATTTGCAGCTAAAGCTAGAATAATTGAATAGGTAATTATTATTCACAGGTTGGATGGAGTTAGGAAATCTATATTCAAGCCGTTTCTGAGTTTGACAACAACTCGATTTAGTGTAACCGTGCAGTTGTTTACACAAACTTGCAAATCAGTTTTAGGCCAGTCTCTAGGGGGAACAGTTACCAACTAACTAAGCTACTCTTCATTTTTGTTTTACGAAATATCAGTTATGCGTTATGAATTTACACAGCCAGCTCCCCGTTTGTACGGTCTCTGAACTGAAGACGAAACATTTCTCCAAATCACCGTCTTTCAAGAAATCGAAATGTGCGTGATAGTGCTTCATAGAACTCGTCGTTTCTCAAACAATACACCCATGGGTTGATTGCCGATGAAGTAAACGCTGTTGTTTCAACAAATGTCCACACGGTGTAATAGTTTGCGTTATGAGACCCTTTGGTATTGAAGTAATGTACAAAACCAGTGATGAGACTTGGCAACCAGGAAACTACAAATAGCCCCACTATGATACTAACTGTTTTAGCAGCCTTGTAGTTCTTTTTAGTTCTTCTAATAATGTCTTGATTCTGCTCACAGCTGCTCGTCGGGTTTATGCTATTGTAATGCGCTAAGGCGGCTTTTAAAATTCGAATAGAACAGAACATGATTATAGACATTGGAAATAATATTGTCATAACTGTAAATGATATATACAATGTTGATAAAGCTGTTATATCCTGAACCATGAACCTTGAGCAGGGTAAGACAAGGGACATAAACCATACATTAGCTATCAGTAAATAACATCTTCTGTTGGTGAGAAAATCGTGGTAGCGCAGAGGATGAATGATGGCTACGTACCTGTCCAGGCTAACACAGCATAAGTTAAATGTTGTTGCCACAGTAGTGTGGATCCACAGATAATCTATACCCCTACCGAAGGTTTCAATGTAGGCTTTATTAGAATTATAACCCAAACATCGTATGACTATCCAGACTGGGTCTATAACAAGTCCTACTAAAAAGTCTGCAGCGGCCAACGAGGTCAGGAATAGGTTAGACATTGTTCTAAGAGATCTTTTTTTGGAAATCAACCACAGGACAATTCCATTTCCAACTATTGTCACTAAACCTGCGACACCCAACCACGTTGCTAAAGCGATCTTTGCCTCTAACGGTAGTGGTTTACCTTGGTTTCCCGAAGTGCGTGTGTCGTTCATTTCTACAGCGTCGACTTCTTTATCGACCTCCTGTTTCTCTTCTGATCAAAAACGTTTTCTGATTACGAATTTTACCAAATCTAGAGTGTTATTTGAAATTCATTCATGAGACATCGGCTGTCAATTCGTCAAGATATAGTTGGCTTTGACGTTCATTGGTCGAATTCAGTTCTCGGCAGATATTGGTCATATCTTTAGAAATTTTTTTAAAGTTTTGACGTTGATTGGTCGAATTCTGTTCTCGGCAGATATTGGTCATATCTTTAAAAAATTTTTTAACGTTTTGTCATCATTATTTTTATGCGAAGTGATCGTTATTATTAGTTACATGCTGTTAGGCATGCGCTCGCCAGGAGGCGTTCATTTCCTCTTCGCCGATATTCTTCGATATAAGACATTTGCTGATTACGAATTGTACTTCACTCTGTGTGACATTTGAAATTAATTTTTGAGACTTTGACTGCCAATTCGTCGCGACACTTTGGCTCTGATGTTGATTAGTAGAAGTTAATCTTCCGGAGCTACTTTTGCCGTCGTTTATAATGTTTATAAGGTCCATTTGTCGTTATCATTTCTATGCAAAGTGATCAAAACCTTTTTTTTACGCTGTCAGCGTTCCAAATAGACACAACAAAATTAAGCAAGGAAAAATATCTTTAACGTGCTACAAAGTGGACACTAGGATGGATGATATACATGTCATTCAAGATCACCTAAATCCAAGATGGCGTCTAGTTATCGATCGAGATGCATGTGTTGCGTTTTGGAAATAAACTTAACGAGGAAGTTTGCAGCGGATTTATCTTTGCAAACCTTTTTAATTCACTATATCTCTAGGTAAGGTTATGATGAAACGTTCTAGTCGCCAATTTGGTGACTTATCTTCAGGATTTGGTCGTCAAAGTGAAAAATTCACGCCCTGTTATTAATTAATAATTAAGCATTGTTGTACTTGTCAGGTGGCTTTCGTTGCTGCTTATTTCTATCGATTTG